GCCCAAGAGCTCAATAAACACATCACTGAGCCCTGTCACTGAGTCCTGTTAAATGCTCTCATTCCCCACAAAGCCTATTCGGCAGTGCTTCAAGCATGTGGATAGAAGGGAAAGTCTCCAGGCTGCTGGCCTGAAACCCTCAGCAGCCAGGCAGATAGATGCTTCAGGAGCATTTGCCTGGGATGGCACGTATGGTATAGCATTTTTCCAGGGATGAGGTGGGAATCAAAAGGGTTCTGTTGGGCTGGAAGCAACTGGGAGGCAGCTCTGCCCTTTCAATGCTCCAGGGTGCAAAATCCCTCCACTTCCCAGAGCCAGGGGCAAACTGGGGGACCCCCATGGGCCACCCTGGGAGGCAGCAGCCAGGAAAAGGGGCTCCAGCTGCACAGAGAGGGATCCACAAAGAAGAAAGTGGGGATGTGGTGACAGCAGGGAAAATGCCAACAAGGAGCAGAGGGAGGCAAGAAGGGTGTGAGGGAGGAAACGGGCTCCCAAGAGCTCTGCAGTGCTGCAACACAAGCCGATTCCAGTGCAGGGCTGGTAACAGGGATCTGCAAGCAAAGCTGCAGGGTGACATGTCCCAGGGCTCTGAAGGTCCCAGTGAGAGGGGCCCAGGTGCTGTGCAGGGCTCAGGTGCTTCCCCACGAGCACAGCGGGAGAGGACGGCTCCTGCCTTCTCTGCATCACAGCTGGGCTGCATCACTCTGACACTGGACCCTGAGATATCCCAGCCCCACGAGGACTGCCAGGTCCTGACAGGTGATGAGCGGGGCCTCATGCCTCGTGATGGCAGGAGAGCAGCCACTGGGTGAAACCCTGCACCGCTCGCACCATTGTTTTCCTGGAAACAGCGGACAACAATAGCTGGGCTGTGCAATGCTCACCCTGGCCGTGAGCCCCCGCCCTCAGGGGGATGAGGGCTCCCCCCTCCTCCTCTCTCGGAGCTCGGCTCCTCCACCCCCAGCCGTGACTCAGAGCTTCCTGGGGACACGTGGACCCCATATCCCGCACTTGATGGGCTGCTCGCTGCCTGGCTCTGCCCCCCGGATACGTCCTTCACAAGGCCATTCTCTGCTCCTGGACACCTACACAGCTTTATCGGGAGCACACTGAGCCGGGCAGGGACTTAACTGTGTCCCCAAGGCATAAGGAAGGCTGCAGCCCCCCCAGGAAGGGGGGCAAGGCAGTGCTCAGCTTCCACCCTGCACCCCATACGCACATCCGCCGCCTTCTTCTCTGCCAGCTCCAGCTTCTCCTGGGCGTCTTTCAGGGCCTCAGAGTACTTGTCCAGTTCATCCTCTGTCCCCTTTAGCTTCTTCTGCATAGCAGCTAGCTCATCCTCCAGCTGGAAGGACAGTGTCGTCACCACAGGTGGACATCACTCTTAACCCCCACACCCCAAGAGAGTCCTGCCTGCCTCATCCCAGGCTCAGCTCTGCCCCATGGCATCCCTCCCACCCCATCTTTGGGACCAGCTCTGCCCCACAGTGCCCATCTGTTTCCCACATCCCACCAGCTGGCAGGGACTGAGCCTCGGCTAGCCCTCGGGGTGCCCTTGAGCTGTGGCATAATGGCAGCTGTCACACTCTCGATACCCCAGGCAGAGTCTCTTTCGGGTCTGGGCTCAGCGTCACCCAGCAGAGGCAGAAGCCACCCCCCAACATCCCTGGGCTGGGGGCTGTGGCTGTCTGCCCTACCTGCTTGCTCCGTTCCTCCGCCTGCTTCTGCTCAGCCTCTGCCTGCTCTGCCCGGTCCAGGGCATTCTCCTTGTCCAGCTTCAGCATCTGCATCTTCTTCTTGATGGCCTCCATCCTTGGTGGGACACAGGCAGTGGTGGGCAGTGGGATGCAGGACAGATAACGGGTGGGTAGGGCAGCTGTGTTGCCTGTGCCCCACTGACCGTTTATCAGCTCTGCCCAGCACAGGGGCTTTGCCTTTCTTGGGCTGACCCGCCTCCCCACCTTCCCAAAAAGTCTGTGCTCAGGACCCATTATGTGTCCCGGGGGCTCTGGGTGGTCACAGCCTTATTTGGGCTCCCGAGGACAGCTGGGGTGTTATAAAAAGCAGCAGTGGGTCTGCAAGAGGGGGTCCTGCATTGTCCCAGGTACCCCCTCCCCCCATGCAACCGGACACCCTGGCTGGTGCCCGGAGCACTTCCTCAGGATGCTGAACTGGGTCTGTTTAGCGCTGGCATGAAGTCCTCGCTCCCCATTTGCCTTCCTGGAGGGACTTAGGATGTTTTGGTGGCCCTGGGCTGACACTTACCCCTGCCTGGGGGTGGCATGGAAAAGGGCAAGATCATCCTGGTGCTATTTCGGGAGCAAGGGCTTGGCCAAGAGTGTTTGGCTCTGCAGGGAGTAGCAGGGGAAACTGCACCCAGCACCAGGGGCAGAGTCCCCCAGGAGCCCGCTGAGCCTCAAGGCCAGCTCCAGCCATGCTGGTGCTTTGTGCTGAGGTAGAGGATGCTGTTGGCAGCTGGAGGAGCAGATTCCCCAGGCACAGGGAGGAATTCTCAGGGCAAGTGGTGGCACTTTGTCCACAGCCGAGAGGTTTCTAACCTCCTCTTTCTGGCCCAGAGATCCCAATGGTCCCATAAATCAAGTTACGATCTCCCATGGAAGACCCTACCCCTACTGCTCCTACCCAGGGACAGATGTAGAGGGCTAAAGGGGCCAGAACCTGGGGGCCTGGGGGACAGAGACAGAAACCTGGTGGTAGCTCTGGGCACCCTGGGCAGGGCACTGGGGGGGACAGCCCCACCAAGGGCCCTGAGCAGTGGCTGCACCTCCATAAATAACGCCCCCCTCCCCATGCCAGGGCAGTGGAGGCAGTGCTGGGCACAGGGCCACGGGCCTTTGTATTGTCATCATCCCTGGCGTGAGCAGGGGGACAGGTGGCGAGCGTTGACCCTGCTACCATCCCAAACCTCCACCAACCCCCGGACAGCCTCTGGGCTCCCCCTCTCAAGTCCCATGGAGATGGGCAGACAGGTTTTATTGCAGCAGTGAGGACTAGCAGACGGTGCAGGACAGGGTGCAGAGGGCCCCCCTGTCTGAGGCAGGGCACAGGCAGCATCTGGCCAAGTCAGTGCTGGGCGTCCCTGGCGCTGTAAGAATATGTTTGATATTTAGTTGGTTTTCCAATAAAACAACCTAATATCAAACATATCAGACAGAGACAGGGGCAGATGGAGGTGGGAGGACCTGGAGCACAGCTGCCTGTAAGAGAAAGAAAAGAATACGCTGAGAGCTGGGGCAGGAGTGGTATCCAGGTATAATCCCCAAGGCACTGCAGAGGCAGCACCCAGCCATACCTCAATGCCTGGAGCCTGCTGGGCAACTGTGCCGGTACTGGGGTGCTCGGGATGCAGTGCTGGAGCAGGAGGCGTCCTGTGGCTGGGATGAAGCTGGAGCAGGGCAGTGCAGGCTTGGTCTCCTGGCATGGCACATCGGGGCATGCCATGACATGCACTGGCATGGAGTAGCATGCTATGGCAGGTAGCACTGGGGCCAAAGGGAACCCACATCCATCACCATCTTACCTGGGCTGGCTTGGGGGCCTCTTCTGCGCTCTGGCTTGGAGATCGTCTGGCTGCCGTTTATAACCGCACTCGACTGCACCAAGCAGAGGGACGTGGCCAGCAACAGCCCTGGCCCTGCACACGTGGCCTCGTTCCCATTAATTACCACCCATTGACGTCCCCCTGCCCCCTCCACGGACCCCCGCACCCTTGTTGCCCAGCACTGCCGGTCGATGCGGTCGATGGCCCTGCACTGCTTGCTCCTGCCCCTGGTCACACTCCCTGTCATTAGCGGGGCTGTCAATACTGGGGGGGCCAGCCCTGGCCTGCGGGCCCTGTGCCACCAAGGGGCTACACATGACCCTGCCCAAGGACGAGCCCCATTGACACAGGGGAGTTGTGCCTCACATCCCCTTGCTTTGGAGGAGCTGCTGGAACTCACAGGAGTTTCTCTTCCAAGGAGCAGCTGGAGGGGCTGCCTGTCACCCTGCTGCATCCATATTGAGGATGTGGCCCCACTCATGCTGGGTGACAGAGGCAGGACCCCAACCCACACTGAAGTAGCTGTTGGGGCCAGGGTGGTGGTGTCCAGCAACAAGGGCACATGGGATACCATGGAGTGCTGGAAGCACAGCCTCCCCACACCACAGCAGTGTTTTGCTGCAGTGGGAAGTACCAGCCTTGTGAATGGCACCGGGGGCTTTGTGGGGGGCTCAGGCTTTGGGGCACCAATGGGACAGGACATGGGGCAGCCAAAATCCTGAGTGCCACGGGAAGGACTGGGACACAGCCTGGCCTTGGGGGTCAGGGGCTTCAGCCTCCTGAGGTGGCCCACGATGAGGTGGGAGTGGGGACAGCAGGGACACACGTGGCAGCAGCAGTGCCAGAGCCAGGGCCGTGTATGTGGCAGTGGGTGATGTGATGCAGCCCGACAGCTGAGCTAATGAAGGGCCGGGGGCGGGGGGTGCTGGCCGAGCAGCCCCCAGCCCTGTCAATAAGCAGAGCCAGAGCAGGCACTGATGGGCCCTGGGGCTGGGAGACACCAAGGTCGGACACAGGCAGAAGGGATGGGAGGTGGGGAACAGGGCCCTCCCAGCTGGGGAGCAGACAGGGATCCTGGGGTGCCTGAATGGCAAGCGGGGACAGGGAGAATTGCACCCAGCCCAGCCAGGCTCCTCTCCCTGCTGCTGCAGGGCTGTGCCACATGGCCAGGAGCACTGTGGCACACAGCAGGTCCTGTGCTAGGACAGGAATCCAGTGTGCAGCACCCACTCACCTCTGGTGAGGCATACTGGCCCTGCTGCCACCTCCTGGCGCAACCATGGGTGAGATGAAGAGTGCAGGATCCAGAGCACCCAGGGTTGCAGGCAACATATCTGGATCCCAGCCACAGGAATTGTACTGAGCTGTGTCTTCCCCCCACTGCTGCCCTGGACTGTCCCATGCTTCATATGCAGCAAAGACAGCCTGTCTTGCTCAACATGTTTTATTCTTAGTCACGAGTTGGGCGATTCCAGGCCAGAGCCACACACTGGGCTGAGCACTCAGAGCCGCTCCACATAGAAGGCTTTCCCCTGCTGGCGCAGCTCCTGCTGGTGCTGTAGGTGCTCATCCAGGACAAGATGGGACAGGGCATCTCGGCGGATCTGACAGGTACAGAGGTTGTGCTGAACTCCCATATCCCCTGGCTCATCAGTGCTGGGAAACATTGTTCTCCAGGATGTAGTGGAGCAGGACAAGGGTGGCACTCACCCCTGTCAGCAGAGGGCTGGGGAACCCAAGCTGAACCCAACCAATGCCCAGCCTCACCACTGCCTGCTCCCTTCCTGCAAGGTGCAGCTCCAACTCCACACACTTCTTCAGCCGCGACTCCATGATCCACTGCAGCACCTCAAGGGACGATACCCAGCACTTTGGGTGCTCCCTGGCCTCCTGCCCACAGCTTTTGAGGCACAGGGTGGGCAGGTCAGGGATGCAGAGATGTTCCCCTCAGCCTGCCCTGTGCTAGACTCCTCATCGCCCACAGATCCCCAGGGGATCAAAGCCCCCAGGGTGCTTTGCCAGCTCTACCTCTCCAAGAGCCTTGCACCAGCATTCCCATTTGCCTGGACCTGCAAACAAAGAGCAATGTTTGTGTGGCCTGGGGTTTAACCTGCACCAGGGCACACTAAAGCCCACTGTCCCTGCCTGCTCCCAGGACAGCTTCCATCTTCCCAACCCCTGCCCTGTCTGACCTCCTCCTGCTGCAGTGAGGAGCTCTGGCTGTTTGGTACTGCCATGGCCAGTGCCACAGAGACCCTGCAACGGCTCCCCTGCAACAGCCACGGAGTTAATGGAATACCTTGGCATCCTGGTTACAGTAACAGCCTCCCAGTTACTGTAATGGTGGCATTCTGGTTACCATAACTGCATGCCAGTTCGTGTCATGGTATTGCAGTTACCATAGCAGTAATGGCAGCACCCTGGCTACCATTAATGGCATCTCAGTTATTTTGTAGCAGCTTCAGCAGGGGATGAAGCCTGGGATCAGGTAGGGATGGGGCCCTGTAGTCAGAGGCCAGTGGCACACATCCTACTTGAGCTAAACTGCCATTTTATTAAACAGTAATTAAAAAGTGCCAAGGTCTGTACTCTCTACTCTGTGTCGCCCATGCCACAGTGATGGATGAGCTGCCAGTGCTGTCCTCAGCCTGACAGAATGCAGACTCAAGGTGCGGGCCACGAGCTTTCAGCCTCAGGAGCTCGGCAGATGCTGGCATGTGAGGCGCTGGTGAAAGTGGGAGCAAACACCCCCTTGGCAGAACAGATGGGACATTTAACAGTTTTGTCCACTCAAGACGTCCCCAAATGCCCAGTTGCAGGAGAATGAGTAGAAACCTCAGCCCAGAGCGGTAGCTTAGCCACGGTGCTAAGAACAGGCACCAAACTATTTCTACCTCATCCAGGTGCGCAGGCAGGCTGGCCACAAAGGGCTGACAGCAGGAACAATGATGTCATGGGGAAAAGTGTTCACCCTTTGGAAAAAAACAGACAAGTGGCTCCAGTGCCCAAGACCTACACGGACAGGATGGACAAACATCAGTTCCCACTAGCTGTTGCAGGGATGGGTGGACAGAGGAGAGTGCTGGCTGGGATCCATCTCTTTATAAATAAGCTCAAGCTCATGAGTTTATTCACAGGGTCCAAGACAGTGCAGGACTCAGAGATTGGAGTGTCATAAGCCTGTGGCAGAGAAGGCCATGGGGCTGATCCCCATAGGCTCAGCAGCTCCAGAATGGGCTCCTGGTGAGGGCCAAACTCCAGCAGCTGGAATGGAGCCCCCACCAAGCGATGACCTCCCACGTGGTATGAGAGGGAGATCTGAAAGTGCAGCTGGTTCCTCTCAGTGCTACCTGCACTGCAGCCCAGACCTGCCCAGCATACCCACTGCACCAGGCCCCTGCACGCTCACAGGGTGCTCTCCAGCGTGTTGTAGTTGTCCTTGAAACTCTTCAGCTCCAGGAAGTGTTTGGCACGTTTGCTCTTCTGGCTGGAAGGAAGGTAGGTGACCTGGATGGTGGTGGGATTGGAGACTTCAGGGGACAGGGTGAGGTCTTTCACTGCTGACTGGTGCTGCCGCTGGCTGCTGCCACCCCGGGTCTTGGTCCTGCGGGCAGAGAAGAGGCACCATCACTGCTGCTGTCACCCCAGAGGAGCCGCTCAGCCTGTGTATCTGTCTGTCCAACATGAAACAAATCTGCTTTCATGGTGATAGCACTCACTGATGTCTTGACATCTAAGGCCACTGGTTCTGTGCAAGTCCCTGACTCAAAGTGGCTGGGGACAAGCAGGAATGTCAACTGTGACTATGGAACAAACCCAGACCTGCAGTAACAGATGAACTGCAAGGAAGGAGTGAACCCAGAGGGACAGAGGGGCACAGACAGCCCCTGTCTCAGATGATGGCTATGTCCCAAAACCCATCTCTGTTCATACCTTCCCAAGGGCTGCTGGGGCCCAGGAACATACCACTGCATCTGGGCAGCAGCACTTACATGTTTGCCAGTTCGTTCAGAGCTTCTTCATACTTCAGATATTCCATTTTCCCAAAGACCTGGATACAAACAGAAAAGACCATGGAACATCCAGCTGAAGTTATGGTGTGGTCTCAGTCCCAGCAGCAGGGCAGAGCACAGAAGTGCCCTGCAGGGTGGGCAGTGCCCCACCAGCACTCACCCCAGTGCCATAGCGGGCACTCTCATAGCCATCCAGCAAGGTGTCAATCAAGGCTTTGCGGATGCCTTTGAAGGACGTGCTGGAATTCCGCAGTTCCAGCAAATAGGCACAGAAGTTCTTCCCGATTAAAGACTTTGGGTACCGGCCCTCTGCTTGAAATGGGATTTCTGGAAAAAGGCACAACAGCTGAAGCGCAGGTAAAAATGTTTGTGCTCATCCCTATGGTCAGGAATCAGTGGCTGGATAAATTTCCATCCGTGCCCACTGCCTCCATTTGCCAACTACCCCAGCCTACCCTCAGGCCACCAGTGGGAGAAGTGATTGAGTGACTGCTACTCCCCAGTGAGCACTTGGAGCTTCCCCATGAGGCTGCTGGCACCCTCATTCAGGGTCTCTCTGCATCCTTATGCTCCCACTCTTACTCTGGGTTCCCTTACCTGATGTCCTGATTGCATCTAGTGCCTTCATCCTGTACAGGTAGTTGTAGCAGCCTGGTAAAGAGAAAGCACAAACTGAGATCTCTGCAAACTTTGGAGGGAAGTGGGAAAGGGAAAACAAGAGAAGAGATGCCATCTCATGTGACAGGACACCAACATGAGCAGTCAAAGGTGTGACTTGGCTCCAGGGGAATAAGCGCAAAATGGTACTGTACCTGGTGTCTCCAGCTGCAGGAGCCGGCCGTCATCCTCGGCCAGCAGCTGTGGCTCATACTTGATGTCCTGCACCCTTGACAGTCGAATGTCAATCTCTTCCTTTAAATCCTGTACAGCAGGAAAAAAACATTTACAGACCACTCACTTTGTAGGACCAAAAGGATAAGAACAGGTCCTAGATAAACCGTACCCTCCCCACTGCCTATCACCACTCTGAGGCAGCAGCTCTGATGCTGGAGCAGCTCCTGCCTGTCCCTTCCGGCATGAATGGGCTGGTGGGTGTAGGGAATGGAGAATACCCACCTTGGGTGCGTGCTGTCCCACAGGCACGTGGGGGCCACGGCGGGATTTCATGGCAAAGCGCATGATCTGGCGTTTCACGAAGATGAACAGCAGCACGAAGACCTGTGGAGCCACAGCGGGGTGGGGGTCAAGCATGTGCCGGACGGGAGGTCTCACAGCCAGCCTGTGCCCAGCCCTTCAACCCCTGCGAGCAGAGGTCCCTGTTCTGCCCACTAGGAGCCCCACGGACACTCAGGTCAGCTCCACACCTTCCCAATCTCTACAGAGGCTGCCACTCACGTCTTCTCCCCGACCCCACGAGTCTCCAGCCCAGCCCCATGAGGGCCTCGAACCCGACACCGAGGGGTTCCCCAGACAGTCTGGGACATGTCTCTCGGGAACTCTATCGACTCCTCGGGCCCGGACGCACGGGAGCTCCATAGACGCGCCAGGATCAGCCTCGCGGGGGCTCCACGGACTCGCGTGGTCCGGCTCCGCGGACACTCCAGGCCGCACAGACATGCCAGGCCACCCCACCCTGTCGCGCCGGCCCTCACCAGACTGCCGTAAGCCATGACCAGCACCACGTTGACCCCCGAAAGCCAGTTACTGCCGGCCCCCGCCATGCCCGGCCCGGCCCGGGGCCGCACAACATGGCGGCCACAAAGCCGCCCTTCGCCCACACCACGTGACCAGAATAGCTCAAATCACGTGATCCGTACGGGGCCGCCGCAGCGCCCCGCGTACGTCACGTGTCCGGCGCGGGCAGCCCCGCCCCGCCCGGTCACGTGCTGGGGGCGGGGTCGGGGGAGTTGTCAGTGCGGGCGGACCCAGGTAAAGTTGCGGCGGCGGCGGCAGCGGCTCCGGTACCGCGCGGCCCCCGAACCCGCCCCCACCGGCTCCTGCCGCCGCCCCCTACCTGCCCGGCCTCGCCGCCTCCCGCTCACCCGGCCCCGCTTCGTCCGGCGCCCCGGGGGCGGCTCTGAGCCCTGCCGCCGCCGCCGCTGGGCCCCGCGCGGCCTAGTGGGCCGGGCCGTAGCCGGGGGCTGGCGTAGCGCGCGGCCGCCGCAGGTGAGGCGGGCGGGCGGGCCGGGTGCGGGCGGGGGGGGTGAAATGGCGGCCGCGGCCATGAGGGCGGAAGCGGCCCGAACTCGCCCGCCTCTCCGTTGCAGGCCCGGCCTGGCGCTGCCGTGGGGGTTCCCGCCCGGCCCCGCCAGCGCCCTCCAGTTCAGTCCGGTCCGTCGCTTCATTGTGTGCCGTGGACTGAGCTGTGGGGTCGGGCAGCTCCGACCCTGCCGCTCTCTCGGGGCCCGCCCGTCCCCGCCGCTGCCGGCGGTAACAATGGGAGCCGTGCTCCCGCCCTACCAGGCTCCTTGCGGGCCGCCAGGCCCGCCGCTGCCACTGCTCCTCGGCGGCGCCCCGGGGCCCTGGCAGGGGTGGTTTCGCTGCTCACCTGAAATTCCCTGGCAACAGCGATTCGGGGGTCCTGGAGGAGCCCCGGCCCGCGAGTGCCGCCCTTCTTCATGTCCCTCCATCCCGGTCTGGGGGCTCTGCTTGCGCCCTCCGGCCCGGAGTCTTCCCAGCAAAGCGCTGCCCGTCGATACCAAGTCGGGATCTCTGATGGCATATCCGGGAGCATCTCCCTAAAAGCTCGTGCTTTGCATACACCGAATGACTCGGTTTATGGCCACCATGTCTTTGCTCTGGGGAAAAACTTGCATTGATAGCCCTTTTTGGGTCCTCATTCTGCCCCACGTTGTGGGAAAAGTTTTGCCTTCTCTGTCCCTTTCCTTTGGGGCTTTGGAGTTTTTTTGCACATGTTAATTAAGCTTTGTTGGAATGGGATGAAAATACCTTTTTTCTGTATTAACACATCAGGGAAACTGAAACTGGGATGTGCCAGGGTGAGTGGCTGCCAGCAGGTCTGACGCAGCCAAGGGACCTACAGATACTGGTTCTGAAACTGTAACTTATCTGACGTTTCTAATAAAATGAACAGTTTGTTACATTTTTGTATCCCCTCATTTTCTGGAGACTCCGCACTTCATTTGTGTAGTTGAGACTCTCCTCTTTAGGCCTGGTGGGAAGGCAGTGGTGTGGTCTGAGAAGGAAAGGGGGTAACAGCAAATCTCTCATTTGATGCAGTGTCTTTGACCATAGGGTGTTGTAACCTGTAACTGTGAAACTTCTTGTTTTCCCTAAGCCCTGTCTGAGTGCGGCACTGTTGGCCTCAGATGTTAGTGCTGCTCCCTTTAATCCTAGTGCTCCAATGTGGACTGGTCACCACGTGCTTTGGCTGGAGCTGCTCTTTCACCTCCTGGTGCAATGTGTGCAGGTTTGC